CTCTTTTTTGTTTCACGTTGTTAAATTTGTGGCAAGTTTCAACTACACTGGCCGCAAACACAAAGAAATGTTGCACGTAACGTTACTTGAAATGTAACTTTCAATTTAACATGGAAATCCAAAAAATCCAACTACACGTAAAAAATGCATGGAATGGAAGATATAACGTGTATTTAAAGAAGGGTTAAATTTGAGCTTTATGTGAATTGGATCCACACGGGATTGGAATAGAATTTCTCGGTGGTACGTGGAAACGCCGCGGCGCCAGATGAAGTCCCTTAACTCCAGTAAAGTTGGGAATTTGCGATACGGCTCCAGAAAGTCAGCGCCGCTATGCGACTTCTGCAAAAAGAGACATAACAGGAACGAAAAAAAATGATTGTACCGCCGGCAAGAACGACACTAAAACTTCAGTGACGCGAGATAAGAAGTGGAAATAACGGCTCACTATAAAGAGGCATATAATCCCTGTGCACTCTTAATAAAAAAAAAAAAAAGAAAGGAATAAATAAGATAAAGGGAAAAAACGTGTCACGTCCGTTTTACGCAAATTCAGATTTTTTCCTGAATCTTCAGTTCTGATTCTTAGCGATAACGGACAGAACGAAATCTTACGTTACGTTGCATGTATCAGTTCTGCAGAAAACAGACGTGTACGAATGCATGCAGATTATACGTGTTCGGAACGGATAATTTTCTTAAATAGAATTCATAGCGTGTAGTATTCACAGCTTGATTGTTACGGAGAACGTCGGGGGTGAACGCGCGAATATGACGATTATATTACACATAAAAGATACTTTACGTATGTATTTTTACGTATGTATACTAGGATAAATACTTTCTATTCAAATAATGTTCTCCGAGGTACAATTCCCTCCAGAATGGGATATTAATGTTCAACGACCTAGAGTTATGTATGCTAATTTAAATATTTCATTACCGAGGGACATCATAGTTCCCTGTTCTCCCGGAAGTGGACTAAAGGACAAATATAATTATGTACATGACATGTATGTATGTGTACAAAATATCAATGTTGACTCAACTAGTATAGACCATGTCAATGGATCAGAAAAAAGTGTATAGATAATATAATAATATTATTTACCGCGTAATTTAAACGGATGATTCCATATAAAATATACATGTATGTGTTTTTACGTACTAGTATAAATATTAAAATCCGAAAAACCAAATAAATGACGTGCATTCGTGCACGCAATTGCAGTGACCGCGTGCTACTAATGCATCGAATTCAGTGCGGGATAATTAATGCCAACTGCGTTTTTCCGCGATTACTAATTGCACAGCCGATAATTGTAATTCGCATTCACGTGCATACGCACGGCTCGACGCCGAGAGGCGTGCTTTCAAATAAATTGTGACCGACGAAACGTTGAAAACTCATCGTTATTAAACAAACGTTAGCACATATATCTGAGCGTGCATATTGTTATCGAGTCTCATTGCGAAATTGTTTATACATCGACGAGAAAAAACTTGTCTCATACTGTGTGCTTACGCATTTCATCTCACATCACATACACACACGCACGTGCATACGTGCCCGTGTTTGTGCGCTATACAGGAACCGCTACAATCGGGGCCACGAAATTTCTGCGGTTGCCACGTGCGCATTTCGGTATCGACGAATTTCTATGACCGAGAACGAATCGCTCTAATTGCTGCAATTTACGAGCGCGCAAGGGATGAGAGTGTCGTGCAACTGCATCGAATGATGTCTTCATGTGAATTCTTTGCGTGCGCGTAACAAATATATGTGACGCGATTTATATCGGCTCGCAGTGTGGCAAAGAGATAAAAATTTGCTAGACAATGCGAGTCGCGGGAAAATTTCAGTGATTTGTCAAAAGAATCACTTGTTCTTCTAGCGTTATCATTATTGAATATAATCCCAATTAATTTTCATAATCAGATGATTGAAATGATAATGATAGCGTGATAGACGTCTCTGCACGGAGAGAATTTTATAGTATTATAGTAATAGTATAGAATTTTATGGTAAAGATTTTCTAATCTTCTAATCTAAAAAGAAATATTTATTATAATTCATATATATAGAAATATTTACAATAAAAATTTTAATAATGATAATAATAATATAAGTTTTTGTAACTGAGGATTAGCTGGTGTGGCTACTTTCGATTTTAATAAATTTTGTTAAATTAGACGTATAGAACTTGCTTCCGAAATTTTGAGTTTAGGTCTGTAGTTATTCGAGCAACATTCACTTCTTACCTCGAGCCATAAAAACGTATGCAATGCGAGAGATATTGTTTATTACATTATATAGAATCGGTATGACGTCGACCCGTATAAACAGATTAAGATAACAGGATTATAACAGATATATACGATTGATATATGGTAAGCGCATTTAATATTGCGTTATCGTTTACAAATCCGCGTAGGTAGACTTCGATTGGTTTGATCAGTCCGTCCGATTAAATACAAATAGTGGGAGGAAGTTACTCACTTTTTCCATTCTACCAATTAACGAACTAATTAAAACCGTTCTCTTGATTTTTCCGTCGAAACAATGAACTGAGCCGTAATAAACTTTTATATTCACACAAGACGATTTTTAATCCCTCATTGCATCTCTCATGAACGGTTCACATATAACACTCATATTCATTATATGAAATTGCGAAATAGAAATACGAACAAAACTTGCTCCAAACAGTGTCACTTAAAATGTAATACGAGAATCTGAGTGTAGCTCTTAGGGAATGTGTAGCTGCGTTAGCAAATAATTTATATTGTATGGTGTGAATTTAATGATTAATTTAATTTGCTATATAAATATAATTTATATTTATATAGCTTAGTATATTTGCTTTATAAATATAATTTGAAACATTGTGAAATTTCATCATTGATTATTTCATATCATGATAATGATGGAAGTCTACACGGCTACGTCGTCTACATTGATGAACGGCGAATCGTTTGATGAGGACAACGGTGCGACTATAATGTTGCGCGTTCACAGTGGAACAGATCGTTTTGAAAGCGAAGTGTGAAATCCGTAGCGTGTATCTGCTGCAAGTGCGCCGGCAAAGGACACTGGCGTCGCGGCGCTCGCTGTATATCAAACGTCATTATATACTTTAACATTACGATTAAAGCTACCTGTGCAATTTCGAAGCTTACATACAGTAAAATGGAAAATACGTAAAATAAAAAATTGCAGGAAATCCTAGTGGACTATATGTAGATTGAGTTGCGCTTCAGGAAATTTGTTTTTTAGAACGCTAAATAGATTATACTTTAATAATAATAGTAAATGAATTATTGTGTTAAGACGCACATGTGTGTGATACGTGGTATACGACATTCTCGAAAATTTCAAACGTCTGTATTTCGGTGAAAAATCAACGTAAGAATATGAAATAAACATCATTCTTCTTGGCAACTCGCATTTCACGAGATGCGAGTTTGCACTGCTCCTTAGACTTTTATAATTATCACGACGTAAGACAATCGATGGTGGAATCTTTATAACTGTTCTAATTACATTTATGAAGTATAATAAAAATACTGATAAATATACTGTATTGGACTAATTATTAAATTCACATTATACAATAATGTACAATTTTTTGTATTAACGCAGCAAGAAATTTACTGAGTTATATTCAGACTATTATATTTAACATGACATTATTTGGGGAAAATTTTTATCATTTTTTTTGTGTTTCTTTTGTAATTTTATTTTGTCTCACATTCTATGTGATAAGTATGAGTGCAATCAAACTGGTCATAAGGAGCTTTATGTTACTGAATTTCGTGATGTGTGATATATTTAATATTGCTGTAAAGTTTACATACTATATAAGCCTATCGGGGTCAAGTATACTCTTTACATGACAAGTAGTCACGTGCATGATTACGATACGTGATATATTCGATACATCATATAAAGATGTTAAAATATATTTAAACACAAAACAGAGAATATCGAACATTTTTATTTTATAAGATATGAAATTACGCGCATATTTCGTGCAAAAAAATTTCGCTCAGAAATTTCCGTGTAATCTATTAATTTTCACAGAAATGTTATGTGCACGATTTCAAGATCAATGCTGTGCATTATACGGAAAATTTACTTTTAGCTGATACATGATTGGCGAATTCTCGATAAAGAATTCAATGCTAATGTTGGAACCGAATTATCATCCGATTGTAACCTAATACTGAGCCAATATCGATTGGTAATACCGCACCGATATGAAAATTTGGTACCAATAACAATTCGTTTAATCGCAAAATCCTATATAACCTTTTCATGAATACATACATAATAAAATAAAACTATATTGCATGAAATCAATTAAAAACAAATTAAACGATTAATCGTATTAAACGAATTTGTCCAAAATAGCAGAAACTGTATATTTTCTTTTACATACACACATACATATAATAATACTAATATACAATAATACACTGAACTGGAAAACAACTTTGCTCTTTTGTTACGTGACAAACAATTTTTTGTGTATGTGTGCGTATGTGTGTGAATTACTTCAACAATAATTAAATTTTATATTCTCACTAACTATAACATTGTTTAGCATGTGAATCGAATGTCATTCCTAGTTTAAAATAGCAAATAATTCAAAATTAAGAAATGGGTGAACTAGGGATTAAAAAATGATTGCAATGTACCAGATTAAAGTTAAATTTTCTTTATTCATTCCTTTTTTTCCGTTGTTAACTGGGTTTTTGGAAAGAGAACATAATCGCAAAAATAAATTCTGTCCAAAACATTTACCTCTGACTTTTGTCCCCGATAAACATCTTTCGAACGAGCCTGCATTCAACTAACGAAAGCATAAAAATCATTTTTCACAATCTCATTGACATTTTCACATCCGTTTGAGTTTCGTGTCGCTCGTTTAGATCTCTGTGTGTTCACGCGCGGGAATCGCAGCTAAAAGGTCGATCGCTCCTTGACACTGTTACAGAGCGTGATGATCAATGATGCTTGCGGCGGTTGTAGTGTGCCGGGCACGCGTCGTGGCCTGTTGCGCCAACAAAACATGCTACGCGGGTGTGGTTGCGGCATCCCCATGAACGGTCATCACGCCGTCCTCGCGCTGCGACGCACCGCGACGTCCAGCAGCGGCTACGACAGCTTCTACAGCCGTCGTTGCTACATGTTGAGGAGCATCCGCGACGTACCGCAGGCGGCACCTGTCGCCAATCCGCCGGCGAACGTCGCTGATGGCAATCGCGAGCAGCCGGAATATGAGAAGAACAATGGGCTCGAGAACAGTCAACCACGCCAGAGCACTCTATGTACCACGGATGAACAACGACGTTGAACTTGGAAATGTGAGCTTGAACGAGTTTCTTCCAAGCAGGTGTTTCTATACACGAGTGTAATCGCGAAATATCTGTATAGCTGGATGCTTTTAGGGAAGACGAATTACGGTACGATAAGGATCATATTTTTACGATGCTAGTCAGGTATACTTCTTGTCAGATACATCCGGTCGGAAGTCTTTGGGCTTGCAACGTAGCCGTAAGCTAAGCGTTAAGAAGATACTGGGTATCAGTATAATGCAGCTTCGTATTTTGCACGGTTTTTCTATTCCGCCGTACAGAATTGCTTATGCAGAGTGAAAGTATTCCATATTATATCAAAAACAAAATAATTTTGTAAATAAAAACTTTTTTAAATTTTTTATATAATATATGATATACCATATGGTACCATATATATACATGATATGGCAACATATGCGTACTTCATCATTTATGAAGACATTTTCACTTTGTATAAGAATTTGCAATTCTATTCAATCAAATAAGAAAACAGTATAAAAGACGAAGCAACTTTTTAGACTCGGGTCAGATTAGGGATGGAATCTATTGAACTTTTCACAATATTTACATAGCAACTACATAATGATGTTATTAACGTTGACATTGACTGTCTCGCTGATTTTTATTGATTACTTCAATGTTCCACTTCGAATTTTTTTACTGGATTATTTCTATTAATTATTTCAATGCTCAAAGTTTAAATTATTATAAATATAATTAAAATCAACACAGTTCATGATATACATATTCATTAATTCGTTTTATTACCTCTCTATTGGTTATACATTTAATTTTTTACATGTAGTTTATATTTTTATACATAAATTAATGAGACACGGTAATGTTGTAGTACTGGCCACTAGATCCTCATGTTAATTCTATGTATTGTGAAATCTATAAAATGTCTGACAGATTACATTATATCGGAAATTGAAAATTGCAAATTGAAAATTAAAGCTTGACTTAGTCAAGATAAAACGAGAGTCAAGATCGAAATTAATTGATTGTCCAATTCTCTAATCTCTAATCCACAATTCTCAATTTCCGAATCTACTAGTCTGATACAGGCTTTACTCTGGTCTCCATCGGTTTAGAAATATTTCTAACAAAAGGTGTTCTCAGTTTTCTCATATCACTGGATATATCGCCATGATTTGTACGAGCTGTATAAATCACAGTAGCAGATAAACTTCTTGCCTGCGAATCCAAAGTTTAGTAGTTTGAAAGTATTCAACGCGTCCCGTGGAACTGGCGTATAGCGTGTTAAAGCTGGCGTGGTACGAGACAAATTCAATTTGTGAAAGTGTTCGCATTTTTACGGGCGATGTATCTCCTGAAAAATTTGTATATGTTCGAATGGTTGAGAGAAAAAGATATCTAAAAAATAGTAAATATTTATTTGATGGGTATACACATATTTATTTCAATTTAAATTCTTTTATTTAAATATAAAATAAACAATTACTTTGTTTGCAAAGCTTTCCTTAAGATTTTAAGAAAATGTATATATTTTTTTAAAATTTATTTTATGTTATATAATAAATATATAAGTAAATATATGTGTGTGTATTATTAGTATGATTATTAATGTACGATTATTATATATTAATTATGAGTGTATATTATTAGTATTATTATTAATTGAGTCCTTTTAGTGTAGACAAGTGTAGATAAACGCGCCTGGAGATGGTACGCTTGTCTACACTATTTTACACCGAAAGAGGACTCAATTAATGAACACCAGTGGTACCTCCCACCGCACAAATCAATATTTTTTTATTTCTTAAATATTTTTTCTCTCAGTGTAGTAGGCAAATGGACCGGAACCTAGTAAAAAACCGTACGTATAACGAACGTAATAATAATAATAATAATAATAAATAAATAAATAAATAAATAAAAATAAGAAACAAAAAACGCGCTCTCTGTGTCGACGTTTCTTGAAGGTCAATTTATAAGGATGGCGAGAATGCGTTTCAAAACCAGCCATAAGATTTTAGACGGGACCAAACGGAAACAACAGGTAACCGCCGATTTTAGCGGATTTTTTTTATTGTTTCGCCTGCTCGTCGACCACTCCTCAATAGAGAAAGGATTATATTGGAAATTGAGCGAAAATGGAACTAGAAATTGATGGTTTCACTCAATTCTCTTTTGAAACAATTCCAACGATAAGTAATACATAGGGTCAATTCGGCGGTGGTTATGACCATCAAAATGGCCAGTGAGGTCATGGCACAGTGATACAGTGGTACAGTGGTGATACAGTGGTTAGCTAGCGATCAATAGCCTCCGCGGATTCGAATCGTGGTCTCCGCGCGGCTAATTTGGTTTTATTTTTTTATTTTTACGACTCAAATGACCGATATGCAGTCACTTCAATGTTCGACACGTCGTAAGTCGTCTGAACGCTGTTCTGATCTGCGACCACCTTAGAGTACCTAACTTCGCTGACCATTTTGATTTTCATAATCATCGAGTTGATCCCATGTGTTACCTATCGTTGGAATCGTCTCGATTAGGAAAATCGAATAAAATCATCAATTCTCGGTTCTATTTTCGCTCAGTCTTCAACATACTTATTTTAGCAAACTTCCTGGAATTTTGATTGTCCAGCCGGGTTCTTCGATTTCAAGTTATAAAATCGATGCAGACAATCATCGAAGATGGTCGATATGTGAAGAAAACTTCGATATCGCTCAAGTCCAGAAAATTGTTCTCTCTTTTGCGACGAGCGAGAAAATTCCGCATGATTGTCGTCGCGGAGTCAGCTCGACCTGAGCTGAGGATTTCCGGCTGACTGAACTAACATGCACCTTTCTATTGATGACAAATGAAGTGTACATCTGTTCCGTCGAGCCGGCGAGAAATTTTTTCTTAATTCTGCCTACGTCGTGCTCGTATCAAATTGGATGTACGTGTAATACTTAACTGCGTCTCCGGTAATTGCTACTAGTTGCTATTAGCAGCGCGACTGTCATATGTATGTATGTATGTGCATTTGTGTGTACATCTCGATATTCGCAATGTTGATAGCGATCAACGATTGGCAATGACATCGTCACGGTCGATGTCAGTATGATGACGCGAACGCGAAAGGCGAAATGCTGTCGAAAGGAGCGTCGGGAGAAGCAGGAGTTTTCCTTTTTATAAGCTGTCCGCTCCAGCGTTGTGCGATATTTTCTTTTGTATTTTTTTTAATGGTGGTGTCTGTTAATATTCAGGTCGACTGCTACGATCTGTCGATCACACAACGCTGTGCTGTATCGCGTCTTGTTCTGCCTCTCTCGCCGATATGTATATCACCAATTGCGAATTATTTTCTATTCCATGCGAATAGTTCGCAAGGGAGTTCCTATCGATTCGATATCACACAAGCTTTTTTTATTGTTAGTCGGCGATAGCCGACTGTTGTAATGCTTCGGGCAGCGAGAATCGAGGGGAATTGAAAGCCCTACATATGTACAGGGTGTTAAAAAAGAATTCAAGACTTGTAGGATAGACCGTACTCACTAAACTGATTAAAAAATACTTTGTGAACATGAGTCGAAACATCAACTCCTTTCAAAGAAAGTTAGAAGTGATTTTCGATTTTGCTTATACATATGATTTGCTTGCTTATATTATTATGTACGATTATGTCATCGTATCATCTTATTTTAACTCGGAATATAAACGCAAGATCCTCCAACGCAATACGCTGCAAACATTTCGAGAAACGCCATATAGGCTAATCATAATCTTTCACTCCAAAGCGTTTACAGTTCCCAATAGATCTTACTGTTAGACATTTGTCTTTATGATTAATGGTTATATATCTGTTCAGAGTATTACATACAGTTATGAGATGATCTTCTGTTTTCACGCCGTGTATAATAAAATCATACACTTCGTGAAAACTGAAAATCAGAATTCTAACTTTGAAAGCGTTGATCCTTTGTAAACTCATAAGAAATCTGAACTCATAAGAACTCGGTAAAAAATATTTAATGAATTTTTCACTCAGCTTAATAACTATCTATCCTATAAATTTTCAAGCCTTTTTTTGACATCCTGTGTATATATACTATATGTACAAAGTATCTGATGATAGCTGGGGAAACGTGCATGAAGATTAAGTTAAAATAAACAGAAAAATTCTCTATTATTTTGCAAATAACTCACAAATTTACGTGGTTAATTTGCAAAATGGTAAAGGACTTTTTTGTTCAGTTTGTTTTAACATGTTCGCACCTGTTTTAACTTGCGTCACACATACGAGACGTAACGATTTTTCACGAGAGACCAATGTCACACATGTACGATGGCAAAATTTTTTTATATCCACGTTATCAAATTAAGTTTGTTTTATACAAACAAATTAAGTTTGTTTTATACAATTACGTAAAAAGAAAAATATGTGATGTGTTATAGGGAGATTCCTCTAAATTATAGTAGCAAATGTGTTAATGTACAAGCATATAATGGAAATCGCACTTATTATAACAATGTACTATACGCACGATCATTCACTAATCTTCTTTAATTAATAACTCAAAATTTTACGTTATCGTTTGTAAAATGGTAGAGGAATTTTGTGTTCAGTTTGACCTAATCTACATGTACATTTAATCTACATGTACACGAGCATTTTCCCACCTATCGTCAGACACATACGTGTATATATTGGGCTCGATACATATGTATAATATAAATAAATAAATATATATATATATATATATATATATATATATATGTATAATATAAATGACTAATTAATCATCACTGACTAATTAATCGTGACTCGAGAAGCACTGACTGAAAGAAAGTATCTTGCGAAGGAACAAGTGGAAGGACCGCGAAATAAGAAGAATCGGCACGCCGGCGACTGTCTGACGGTCGTTATCGTTAATAGCGAGATGACTAACCGCTTCAACCCCCAGGTAGATCAATTTTCCATGTACACGAGTTATTAAAGAAACCCGCCCGATAATACTTCGCATGGAGCACGTATGCGTGCGTATGTATGTGTGCGTACACACGCGCGTTGTAAATATTTGGTCGTCGCAGACGAACGCGTTCCCCTTACAGTGCGGGCATGACGGACGAAGAACGTTTCAATTAACTTCAACCGCAAATTTTCTCTAAGTCATGGAACATTAACGAGAGATCTCCAGCGCGAAACATAAGGACTTTGATCATTCGTCCCGTGTGAAGAGATTGGTACACGTCGAGAAGATGTGAACATTTTTGCGTTGGGTGCTGCAAAATCCAAATACGTATGTAAATTATATCTCTACGTGTTATTTTCAATAAAAAAGATAAGCATTGGATATATAAATTAAACGTCTGCATTAACCTTAAGTATTCTCTTCACCGACACCTTGTAAAAAGCACTTTAGCGAAAAAATCCAGAATCATCCATTTAAAGAATCATTTCTCAAACCTATCCTATCTCGAATCTATTTGTTACTCCAGATAATGTGTGTATTTTTATTACTCGATGAGAAAAAGGAAGGACTTGTTGCAAGGATGGGTTTATATAGAAATTAATGATGCCCTAGGCTGCGTTCCTTTTGGACGCTCACGCTTTAAGCGCTTACAAGCGTCATTCTATCTTTCTTCCGCATCTAATGAGCGATAAAGATAGAATGGCGCTTACAAGCGTGAGCGCCCAAAAGGAACGCGGTCCTAGTATCAGGTTCCCAAAGAAAGGGAAGCCCTAATTCAGTGTAAAATTTCTGACTGTCTATTATAACATTGACAGGGTGGAGTTTCAATTTCTCAAAGAGTAGCCGTAATATACGATTTCTCACTTTGAAAAGCTTTTATCTCTTTCAACAGAGAGAAAAATGAATTCCTTCATTCGGTTAAAGTAGTGTTTATGTTTATTATGTAACCCAATAACTTCTTGCCGAAAATTTTTTAGCATCTTCATAAGACAATCAATATTTTGCAACATCTTTTTTCTTAGAACTTCGTTTAGTTCAACGATCGAATTATGATAGAGAAGTGAGTTTTTATGGTCATTTCTTCATCATCGTGTCATTGTAATTTTTTGTTCTATCCGTAAAGCACCTATGTTTGAAACAGAATTAGCATCGGGCTTTGAAGATACGCCTCTCGTTCTGCGATGTCGAAGCAATATTCAAATAGACAAAGAAGCAGAAGTTCGTCCGCATTCCCCGACCACAGGCTAATCCAGTTGCTATGTGATAATCGAAGCTGCGGCAGAAACTTTATCGCTGTAATTTTCACATATATTCTTCTATCTCAATCTCTCAACTCTCGCGAAACTCTAGTAGTTTCCAAGTAACTCACATCAAGCGACTGATATCGAGATAATTCGCTAACAATGTTACGGCAGCAGATATTCTGCATTAAGTAGCATATATCAAGTAGGAATAACAAGAGCGCCGATGATCGTCGATGATCAATAAGCACAAGGCGCAATGGAAAAACGTGATGGGCCTTGAAAGATGTGTAAAGGGTTAGGAAACTGTGTCGCAGGAGATCAGGCGATTTTCACACAGTCCACAGCCCGCAGTTTCGACGAGACAGGACGTGACCCTATGTCGGGGAAAAAGGCCGAAACACGGGTGTGCGTCGTTTATCGTATGAATATTTAGCTTAGGATTCCGCCCACGACCCTCGGTTGGCATGCATGGATGAGAAGGGGAGCGACTGTGAGGTTTTCTGTGCGTTCCCGGCGCTTTCACGCGTCGCTGTCGACCTCGATTTGCGACTCGCTGAATCCACGGCGCCATTGCGAAATGACAAGAAAACTCGGTCGGATGAGATGGGGGCATTAGGAAATCCGCTAGCTGGGAAGACGATCCGTTCGGATCGCGTCCGTAAAGTTCGGTATGGGACAAGCCGCTGGGTCCCGCAGTTTCGCGTAAGTAGTCCTTTATGTATGAAGCTCGCAGTAAATGGATCCACTGAAATAGCATCGAATCTCTATTCTTTCCTCTGATCTGACGGTGAGTATATGTCGCTCCAGGGCCGGTAAGTCTATTTCTCGTTTAGCTAAAGCCAGTCGTTTCCACTGTTAGACATTACGTGAGCCTGATAAGTAATCCCGGTACAAATAATCTCTTTATGTTGTTCAGCGGCTTTTACGAGACTTCCAAGGTGAGGAAACTCGGAGGAAAAGAGAAGATTCCTCAAATCTGGATATTTTGAATGGAAAATGTTGCAACTACTTTTCTTCTTCTCTTCTTCTTCTTTTTCTTCTTTGATACTGACCAGATGAAAAGTTAAAAAATGTTGACCATCGGCCCACTTATCGCGCGTAGACAGTTATCCTATAATTTAGTCTGTAAAACGTTCGCTCGGTAGTCGGTTGGCGACGGCTCGGGGAATATCTTAAACGCCAATCTTGATCGTGATGATAAAAACTTGCTTGCACATGACTGTATATAAATGCAAATAGATACTTCGTCCTGTCGGAAAGATGTGCAAAAAGGGAAGAGACGAAGAAGATCGAAGGAACATGAAACTATTACAAAATATATAATGCTTGTAGATATAACGTAACAAAGAACGATGAAAAATCTACGAAAATCATTGCGAGCGAATCGACAAGACGCAGTTTGCGAACAGGTTACGAGCAACAAAGCATTGGAACAACCTAAAATATTGATCCCACTTTTGACCTCAATATTCCATTTAATGTCTGCTTTGATACTCTGAAGCCTATATCAATATCCTTCTTTTCTATTTAGAGTCGATGGTTCCAATTTCTTGGTAAGCACTGATAGTTAAATTATGTCTGTCTTCTTTTTTTTTCAAATCGGACAGAGACAGACGCATGATTTAACTGTCAGGTAGCTTACTAAGAAGTTGGAACAATCGGCGCTTAACTTACTAATTTTGTCGAAAATTTCTCTTTAAAACATACAAGTGACATTTTATGCGTTTTCTGTCATTTAGAGGCACTAAATAGGATTTTAGTTTCCATATGCTTTAAACATACACTGATCTTTCAGAATATACAGATGCTAGAAAGTCGGCAGTAAGGCTACAAGTTCGATTCAGGAATGTTGAATCTATAGTGGTATCTGTATTAGCAGCCAATGCAGAATCTATAGTGGCCAACCGTTGACCAACCTTGATAATATATATCAAGGTCAAATCGGGTTTACTGATGTGAGCAATTGTCTAAAATTACACGATCTGTTTAAATTACATAAATTATTATTGTCGTTATTGTTACGTAATTCTATTATTATTGTTGTATCCTATTAGTTTTGTTCTTTTAAATTTTATTAATTATTAATTTTATTATATATAAATTACTATATTAATTCATCGCATAATTTTATTGGAAGGTTGAGGAAAAGAACAGAAAAAAATTCGACAACACGCGAATCACGAAAAATACCCGACCTTAATTCGAGAATCATGAATGCACGCAATTTTCCAAGCGGAATTCAAGTTAATCTCTCTCGGGTCATATTACAGGACGTCCTTTCTCAGGAGGTATGTAATCGTCGACGCATTCGCGGCAGCTTTGACCATGGCGGTATAATATGCGCAGCATGTGTTCGCATATATACGACGTATCTCTTTACGAAGGTGGCAGAGGTGGATGATGGCGGACGGGAAGACTAAAGGTCGATGTCTGCGTTGGCTTGTCCTAGGAAAGAATGCGGTATGCCTTTACGCTAAAGAGGAACGTAGAACCGGAGGTGGACTGAAGAAGAGCCGTTATCACTCTCCGCTGACTCTGGGCTTCCCGAAGCTCATCAAGAAAACATCGAGCGGCGCGTATTATCACATCGGACGGAAAATGAAAAGGGGGTTGTCCGATTTCGTATGACAGCGAGCGAGAAGATGAGGTTGATCTCTCCTCAGGGTGCCCCGAAGACAATTCGACGAAGATAGCTATTGAGAGAAAGAGAGAGATAGAGATAGAGAGAGAGATAGATAGATAGATAGATAGATAGATAGATAGATAGATAAATAGATAGATCGAGAGATAGAGAGATAGATATATAGATAGATAGCGAGAGAGAGAGAGAGAGAGAGAGAGAGAGAGAGAGAGAGAGAG